AAATATGCCAAGTGAAAGAATGTCTGCATCTCGTCCAGAGATGCCATTGACTCGAGAACCAAGCATTTCTTCGGCTAGAAAGTTTCCTGATCAGTCAGAGGACTTGAAGAGTTTTCCGGTCCAAACACCGAGGATTGTTTCTCCTGCAGGAGCTAGTGGTTCTGGGATTTCTACTCCGGTCTATGCAAACTCTCCATCTTCAACTGGACAATTAACTTATGTCTCTAGGCCGCCTCCTGCCTTCTACTCACAAGCAAATTTTCCACAAAGTGGAACTGTGCCTTTAAGTGGTGGTTCTCAAGGATTCTACGATCAAAAATTTCCATTAAATCAACCACCTTTGCCTCCAATGCCACCACCACCAATAGTTTCACCTGTATTGTCTCAAACTACAGACACCATTGTCAGTCTTCCTTTTAACATTCAGTTCTGTGGGAAGATGTGCAGCCTGCAGTTATTAACCTATCTTCTCCCTCTTTTGCAGGTTCAGTCGGAATATGTGTCTGTTTTGGCAAGCAATTCTTCACTGGCAACCTCCAGTCCTTTGCCTGATTCAAGATTTGGACGGACATCCCATTCTTCCCCTGGCAGATCTAGTAGACCGCCACCTCCTCTCCCGCCTATGCCACCTCCATATTCATCTAACCCTTCTGCAATGGCCTCATTCAAAAATCCAAATTCTCAGTCTCCATTGTACGTTCAAACTGTTGGTAGTTCCGAGCTTCAACATAACCCTGTTGCACCTTCAATGGATACTGGATTAGGTAACCTTTCGGCATCACGGACAATGCTAACTTCTTATCCCCCACCTCCTTCAATGCAGCCCTTGATTTTCAGGCCCGGTTCAGTACCTATCAATCTTTATGGAAATAATTTAGTTCCACATCACGGAGAAAACCTGCCTAGTATTTCACAAAACCTTCCCATGTCTCTTCCTCCATTTCACTCCATACCACCTCTTACTCAATTGCAGCCTCTACAGCCACCGCAAATACCTCGCCCTCCACCACAGCATCTTCGGCCATCCATTCCTGCTTCCCCGCAGTCAGAGCAAGGCATGTCTGTGTTGCAGAGTCCTCTACAAGTGTCCCAACTCTCTCCTGCACACATGTATTATCAGACCCGACAGCAGGATAATGCTGCACAATCATCGCAACAAGTTGAGCAGTCACGAGTTCAGCACCAGCAAACGGAAGGCACGTCCCAGCAACAAGATGCTGGAATGTCATTGCAGGAATACTTTAAGTCCCCAGAAGCTATTCAGGTCTCATATTTTGCATTTATCTGGCCAATTTGTTCAGTGTACTAGCCGGTTTGGTAATAAATTAGTTTCTGATCGTTATTTTTATACCTGATTGCAGGCTCTGTTGAGTGATCGTGATAAACTTTGTCAGCTTCTAGAAGAACATCCAAAGTTGATGCAGCTGTTGCAGGTTTGATAATTCAACCTAAACCGAATCATTTCTCCTAACAGCATGCTTGGCTATGTTTAGAAAGTTTAAGTTTTAATGAGTTTCTTAATTTGACACTAAAGATAAGAATTGCTTTCCATGAAGTATTAATCGTTTTTTTAATTAAAAAAAAGAAAAGGAAAAAGAAAAAGAAAATAGCTATTATAACATGTTTGGAGCAAAAAGTACTTAAAAGGTAACTTTAGGGGTGGTTTGATAAATTTTTTATAAAAGTTTTAACAGATTTTGATAAAAGCTGTGGGTTCCTAGAATATGTGGTTAAAAATAAAGTTTGATGAATTAAAAGTTTATTTTTAGCAAAGTTTTATCAACAAGCATTTGTTTAGCTCAGCCCAACAGCTCAAAATAAAAATCTTTTCTTTCCTTCTATGGAAACAAAAACTGGTAGCATAATCGGTTTTCTTGTTTCGAGTTTCACATCCCAATTGTTTGTGGAGAATTTGTAATATTGCTAGTATAAGTTTTGCCCTGTTTGAATATTTTCCTCTGGTGATTTACTAGGAGCGACTAGGCCGTTTATAGTGGTATTCCGGCGCTCTCTTCTGGAGGACGTCATAATGGAACGTGTTTTCATGAAAAATCTAACTACTCGATGGTAGTTGGGTGAGAATTTTGTGAATGGTGGATCATGACTGCTTGGGGTATATGATTCACTCTTTGGCCTTATATTTTGTACTTTTGAGTTGGATTTGTACCGTCATTGTACTTTCTTTTTTTGTAAGGAATTGTAAATGCTTTCTGTTAACTGTAGTTTGAGTAACAATTCTAATTTTTAAGGAAAAAGAACAAAGAGAAACTGTTAAAATTTTTAGTCGCGTTGATCTTGTTTTGCACGAGTCAATGTCATGTATGTGAAAATAATTGGGAATTGTGAGGAAATTGCTTAATATGCACTAAGTTTTACGCCACCAGCTGCAAAGATCCACGTTCATCAGTAGTGTAGACCGGGGCAGAGCCACAAGAGTAAAGTTGTAAGGACATATTTCACAAATTTTTAATTGTATGGACAAAATTAAAAATTATAAGGATTTATTTTTGAAGAACTAGTGTAAAATCTTTGCAAAATTTTGGATTTCAAATTTAGTGTAGGGAAGTAGATCCCACTGCCCCAACTATAAATCCACCCATGGCTTGTGGTGTGGCATGGCGATGATGGCAATGTGTGGTGGTAGAAGTTGACTTTTTAATGGTCGGACTAATCAACACCATCTAAAAGGACCATTTGTTTGATGGGTTAGGTAGTTTCATGCCAAATTATAAGCCTAAACATGAAGAAATCAGTGGCATGACCTAATATATAGACTAATCGACCATAACCATAACCAAAACTAAACACTAAATCACTTGTTTAACATAAGAATTCTCAATGATTGATTGAATCGTCACCAATACAAAATGACCATTGTGTCAAATAATAAAAAATCATCACCATTAAACTAATATCATCATGTTGCTTCAACGATTCATTTTTTGACATTATTCCTGTTAGAAAATGCTGAACTTAAACCAAAACTACATTGGTAAGCATGAATAAAAAATATCAGGGTAAGCAAACTCTAGTATAGGAAGTCTGTGCGGACACTAACAATTATGCACAAGGTCAATGAAATATTATCAAAGTTTTAAAAATAAACTCGAATATTGACCTAAAAACATTATGGTTAAAGGTCAAATATTTAAACTAACAGTAAATAAAATTTAAGTCACGAACAATTTTAGATCCTATCCCACCAAACCTTAGGAACCTCAGGAACCTACACTCTTGATCCCAATTTCAATTCATTGTCTAAGAGAGCCAAGATTTTTGGTTCTCTTTCAAAAAATTTAAAATGAGTCACCAACAATTTTAGGTCATATCCCACCAAACCAAAGGAGCCTACACTCTACGGGCCTACTCAATAGTAATTATGAAAATTAATTTTTTGACCATTAAAAAAAAAAAGTAAATCTCACCTAAGTAAAAAATAACAACTAAAATAATGAAATAACTGTAACGAGGGTTGCATCTCATTTTCAATTCATTGAGATTTTTCTCTTTCGAGAATATTAAGGAGCTGGAGCTGTGTAATGTTGCTAAAAGTTGATTAAAAAATAATAAATCTTATGTAACATGTGAAAACTAGATAAAAGTTTTGAATCCGATGAATACACAATAAGAAATGAAGTTTGACGAACTTTTTCACCAGCAAAAGCTTTACCAAACAACCACTAAGTTCATATATACACTTTCTAAACCAACTGATTTGTTAACTCTGTTCACATCATTGGCCACCATTCCATTGATACAAATGGAGAAACCTTACTTGTACAAGTTCTTTATGTCATGTGCACTATGCTCAACAATTCCACTCAAATTGAACTACTTGGAATACTGCAAAATACAGCCCTATTTGATCACCATTAAATTACATTCCATTATATTCTATTTTTCTCTCTCCTATTTTCAACCACACAATCTTCTATAAAATAATATTACACGTAAATCGAAAATTTTTCCTTCTTTTTCAACCACTCATTTTTTCAACAAAACACTATTTCCCTCATTTTCATTACCAAAAATGGGGACCAAACAGGGGCTGCAGATTAGCAAGCAAATAGGCAGTAGCAAAAAGCTACCATGATTGAATCTAGTACAAGGCCTGAATGAATGGGAGAGATACGCAATCCTTTCTAATTTTTCATATTGAAATTCTCAAATGCTAAAGGAGCAACAAAATGCAATGCAGAATAGCAAATCTTGAAGCAGAAAAGAGACCTAGCATCTTAACACAGAAAATTAATAGGAGACAAATTTACAAGAGCTTAAAACTAGTCAAGTACTGTCTCAACGAAGTGTATTTTTCCCTCAGAAACACTACTCATCATCATCAACTTCTACATCCTCCTTAGCTTCCTTCTCCGTAGAATCTTCTTCGTCCTATAACAAATTTATCAGTGACATTAGAACATTAACAAGGGGAAAACATAAATGTCATTAAGAACAACATACATGTTCATTTTCTTCTTCATTTGGCTTCAAGGCCTTCACATATTCTGCTTTAAGCTCTGCCGCTCTATCCTGATAGAGCTTTTTCTCCTGGCAAATCAAACATTTCACAAAAATTATTTTTTCCCCCTTGTGAAAACTGCAATGGAGGAGTACAAGTTACAAATGAATAAAGAAAACTCACTTCAGTAGTCATGGATTTCCATTTTTCACCACCCTCCTTGGCAACCTAATATTCGAGATACCAAACATGTAAAAAATACAACAGAGTCTTAAACAACAATTAAGATTAAGCAGTCGACACTACAAGATTTTTTTTATACCTCTTTTACACTCTTGCAATCAGGATTAGCCTCCTTGTACTCTTTCCGAAAGTCATCCCTAGAAATAATCAACATAAAAATATTATCAACAAAATTCTCGTACTTATGCAATGGGGAGAGTAAAAGGGAGAGATCGTACAAGAAAAGGAAGAAAGCAGTTGGAGGGCGTTTTGGTGCATTCGGATCTTTGGCTTTTTTCTCCTTCTTTGCTTTAGGTTCTGTTGATTTTGCCTTCTTTCTGCTCGTCAATAAAGTGATGTGAATATAATAACACATGCACAAATCAAACCAAAATTGATAACAACACCATAAAGTAAGAAAGATCTATGAGATTACTTTTCTGCTGTGTTTTTCTTGACCTCGCTAGACATTTCCACGACCTGAGCCCCTGTATAGAATTGAATTAATCCATTCAAAATCAGAAATTAAACATTTTCTAAAAAATCAACTCTCATAACAGGATTGGTAATTTAACCTATAAAATACCTAAATTCATCTTGATTTTAGCATCAAGGCTACAGTTGTGGAAACTAATTAATGCCACTGGTACATCTTTGTTGCACTCTTCACTGCAAAAATGAGCACGGGTAATTGAAACTTGAATCGGTATAAATAAGCACAGATCGATACAAAAGATGACGTATATTGTTGTTATATACCACTTGGCAAAAGCACTTCCATCTCTAGCACGTTTAAGAGTAGTGGAAGCAGAAGTAGGTGAAGAGTCAGCCTCCACTCTCTTCCTCCCTCTCGGTGGTATCGAAGATTTTGATGCTCCGCTGCCCGCCATTTGAATCGTATTGTTTCTGATGAAAGGTGATAACAGAGAATCTAAAAAATGCGTGTGCTATTTCTAATGGGGGAGGATATTATTTGATTTAGGGTTTCGGCGGGAGAGACTGATGAAACTCGAAAATTTGATTTAGAACCAAAATGAAATTCTGTAGTTGGCGCCAATTTTTTTAAAGCTAAAAATTGCGAAATTTGCAGAAAAGGTCTTAAATCTTTCAAAACGATGCAGATTATACCCGATCCTCTAAATCGTAGCAGATAGCCCTTAAACCTTTCAAAAATATATGGAAGGGGAACCTCTCGAACGGTTTTCATCTAAAAATCTATTGGTTGCCAAAAAATCAAATGTTTGACCATAATTTGACCAATTTTATTTTAATCTACTATAAAGGACTAATTAAGCCCTATTTGGGCGTCATTATAATTTTAATACATTTTTATCCATCCTCTTTTTAGCTGTACATTCTTGAATAAAAAATATTACACATAAATTCAAAAAAAAAAAAAAATCCTTCTCTTTTAACTACACAATTTTCAAAAAATCACTAGTCTAAAGTATATTTTCTTCAAAAAAATACATTAAAATGAATCTCAAACTGGGGCTAAATGAATAAAGAGCGATCAAGTACATAACACTTGCATTTAGTCCATTAGTGTGCTTTTGTTCTTGTGAGGTGTTTGCAGACATATGGGATGTTGTTGTTGATTTTGTATTACACAAATGTAAGGATCGTAGCAAGTAATATAGTGGACCTAAAAGTTCGGATATCATTCCTACAATGACTACTATTTAACAATTGGTTCAATTATTCCTAATTTTTGTTGGATCGAAAATAAACAAAGAAGTCGATGTTGTGATTTTTGATACAACTATTTAAAAATGTGTAGATGCACACAAAGAGTGATTTAGAACTTAAATAATGAACAAATAGCAGGACAAAATAATTTCACATACTGATCACATTTACATTTTAAATCAAGATTCATATCTTATGTGGTGTTCGATCAAATTCTCCCATTGTATTCAATTTACCCTTTTTGAGTTCTCATTGAATCTATTTAACTAGTTCAATTTCATATCTCTATATGAATCTACCTTATTTAAACGAGTTCTTTGTTCTGGGAATTCAATTATGACTGCAATAATTAGTATATGTATCTCTACTCATTATTCCAATTTACCGAATTTTACTACATGGTCTAAATCTTAAACTATCTCTATTCGTAAAGAATTCACGAAATCAAATTAGCGATCAAGTAATTTAATGCATTCAATTCATAGTAAAATCAACACATGAAACAATAAAGACCAATAATTTTAAATTAAATATGTAAAGAGTCTCAAATAGGTTTCATTATTCGCCCTAACAAATTTAGCTATTCATAATAGAGAAAAAAAAAGCAAATGAAAATAGTGGAGTTTATCACTAGGTTGTAAAATTAGATGTGGGAGAGTGAATGAGTCTTGCACCAAATTCTTCTTCTCATTTCAAATTTTGATTTCCAACCCTTGATTGTTGTTTTTTCCTCTTGAATTTGCTCTCTAGTTCTCAGACTGTGTTATTGCCTCTCAATGTGTGGAATCCCCTTCTCAAAATGTGAAAAAATTGTATATATAGTTCCTCCCCCCCCCCC